GGGGGGGGTGGGGTGCGCAGGGGGGGCCGAGCATCCAGGGCGGGCATTGCCCGTCGCCGCCAGAGTGCGCTCGGCAGCCGAGGCGCGCGTGGTGTCAGTGTAACTATGACAATGTAGGAAGGTCCCGGGCCCAGACCACCAATGACTGGGGTGCTGTGAGGCCTCGCCTGAAGGAGTTATCATCACCCACCACGCGCGCCCGCGTTGCCGCCACTCGTTTGTGCCAGTGAGGCCCCGGGTGGCGCATGCTCCCGGACCCACGCCCCTGGGCACCCATGCCCGTCAGGATCATGCCCCACCGACCTGCCGTTCACCCGCCGCAGCGACTTGGCGTGCGCGGCCGGGGCCAGCACGCCGCTGCGGTGCTGCAGCGACCTCTGCATCAGCTCGCGCGTGGCGGCCAGCAGGTCCGGCCCGGCCCGGCCCGGCAGCGGGCGGGGGCAGGCCGGCGAGAGGAGCAGCTCCGCCAGGGGGGGGGTGTGGATCAGGCACTGCAGCACGCTGTTCATGAAGCAGGTGTTGCCCAGGTTCTGCAGGCCCGCCCCCTGCGGACATGGGGTTGGACAGGGGAGGGTGGGCGCGCGCCCCTCGTGTCATGTGGGGGAGCAGGGCCGCTGGGTCCAGGCCCCCTCCGCCCACCCTCCGGGCACCACCTCGCCGGCTCACCGCTTTGAGCACGGTGGTCCACCTCGTCGCCAGCTCCGCAGGGCCAGCGGCCGGCTTCCTGGCCTCCAGTCCCTTGAAAGGTCGCATGGAGGAGTCGGCGTAGCCGTTGAGGTGAAACTGTCGGGGTGGAGGGTGGAGGGCGTCGTCAGCTGGCGGGCATGCAGACGGGTGGGAAGCCACGCCCCCGGTCATCAGTCACCACGACTCTGTACCTCTGTGCCGGGGTTCAGATGTATCAAATTGGGAACATCTGCAGCACTGATGGTGTGCGCATCCTTGCGCACGGCGGGGACAAAGGCAATCCTTCGCACTTGCACCCCCCCGCCGGTGGTAAGCATGCGGGCTCCCTAAGACTCAATGGGTAAATTCAGAGACGATTATCATGGCATAGGGGGGGATGGACCTCGCGCTCGGGATGCCACTCATGTGCCTGCGTCCGCCGTAAAGTAGGGTGCATGTCAGGGGGGCACGGCTGAAAGGACCCTGAGATGGCAAGGGCCCACACAAGCTGTTCCAAGTCCGGCGAGGGGCAGGCTGCTCTCAGCGTTAAAAGGGTACTATATAGATTTGGAAGATTTTGCACTACACCAGGAGGGTGGGTGTGCCATGCCTGATGGGGACGCCCGAGTCTCAGCAGGTGTGTGCTCAGATGCTCCTCTGCTGGGCAACATCAGGTCAAGACGGCTGAAGCTGATCTCTTTGCCCATGGACAACATTTCCTCTTTGGAAAACACTCAGTATCAGCACTATCCAGGGATCTGAAAATCCATTCCTAGATCAGGTCGGGCTGAGTCACTCCCCCTGGCGCATGCGCAGTGTGGAAGGCAACCCAGAGCGGTATCCAGGCCTCATGGCTGGCCAGGCTACCACGTGTCAATCACAAGTAAACATGGCTGAGGTGACGGTGCCCATAGGGGATCAGAGTCCTGAGGGTGCGAGCTGTCGCTTCAAGCTATTCACTGCGGGCAGATTCACAGACCAGCGAGGAGGCCAGCCTGGCGTCTGCAGTGGACATGGTCGTCCCAAGCAAGCATTCTACACGAGCTGAGAAAGGCCAATGCTCTACTGGCATGCGTGGGATGTCCCAACCTCACTTGATGGAGGGTGTGGGCCTGGTGTCCGTCTTGTGCTGGATGGGTGGAGAAGGGGGCGCTCCTCTCGGGATGTTGCTCGTCGCGCACCAACTGATGCCTTCCCTTAGTCTGTTTGAGGGCTCAGGAACGAGATCCAATGAGTATACTGTGATGGATTGGGGCAACTACTCTATTCTTCAACACTCCAGGGCCAGAGGGTTTAAGACCTGATCTTCTCGAGGGAGATGGTGGGCCCTGCCCGAGCACATGCTGTGCCTCCCTGAAATTCTCTGCTGTTTTGTCGTCGCCCAGTCATCGGGCAAGGAATACCCTCGAGTGTGATCCCAATGAAGGATCTCAATGGGTGCGGCAGGTGGACGGCAATGACATCCATATCCTGCAGACTCCACCTCTGCTAAGGAGTGGGGTGTGATGCGAGTGATCTTCAGCTCACACATGAAAACACTCTGTGTCACAACATGCTGTCATCCTCGCAGTGCACTGTCCAGCAGACCTCGTAGACACGTGCGGAACCGCAGGTCTCGAATTTCGCGGTGAGCGAGAGCACAGGTCTTGGCTCCTTGCTTCGTCTTGGCAAGATTTGACCTTTCAATTCCACACAGCGATCTCAGAAAGCTGCGAACGCGAGCATCCTGGTGCGACAGGTGCACGTGCGGCGACTCGAGCGTCATCATCGTCCATCGATATTCCGGACGGATTGCCCTCCGGGGCGAGTCGGTCCGGAGGACGACGCGAGGGCGAACCCTGGGTGAGGAGGCCTTTTACAAAGGAATTTCACCTAGGTACGCATGCATATGTCAGAACAAGTTCAACACCCGTTGTAAGGACCTTACGCGCTAATGCTAACCGGGTCAATACACATAAAACAAAGATGTTGCGGAAGTGCTTCCGCACTACACAGTTACACCATGTACTCCATTAATGTCAAGCAATAAAAATGCGATGCGTACAGGAGAGAAGAGGATACATGTATGACCTGGCAAAAATGACCGAGATCGTTGTGTGAACCCCGGCGCCACTGGAAGCACTCAATAGTCCCTGGTAACCGGGCCCTCTGCAGCGGCTCGTCCACAGGAGGGCGAGCAAGCGGTCTTCCAAGGAAATGGCCTCCATAAGCAAAACCCACTCATTCAAGGTCTTAATTTCCGAATTATCACCTGAGCCAAGACAAGAAGTGTATCTAGTCTCACATCGCATTGGGGCCCCTAGACCCTACAACTAAGAGTGCAAGGCCTGACTCCTTGGACATGTGGCGCTCACACTTTCGTCTCTTGATCTCCATCCTCTGCACTTGCGCAGCTCTAAGAACAGCGGTACGGGTTTAAATGCTTGGTAGAGTGCACACGTTGCGTTATGGAGCCTGGCGCACCGAACGGAAACGTTGCACTTCCATGCGCCCCTACACGCAGGCAGGTTGCGAAACAAGAATTTTTGCCCTCCCGAGTGCAAGGTGGGATTTTTCATCCCCAGCAAGTCTCACTGCGATCGCCATTCATCGGCGGAGCCTTCTCGGCCTCGCCATTGCGACCGGAAGGAGGTCCCGAACCCGGATGCGGATATGTATTTGCGGAATCTATGAATATGCCACATGTGCCTCCTTCCCCACACCATACTCCTCCCCGCAGGTCTGAGAGCACCCTATACTTGCTCAAACCTAGTAGCAGCGACCTGTTCTGCAAGTAAGTGGGAGTAAAGATTGCTTTAGCATCTCTTATTCACCCTGAAGAAGACTCCAGCTTCCTCCAGCTGGGGAAGTCGCACTCTCACACCTACCCATCCACAGGAAGCATGGTTTTCACGAGGCCGGATAGATTCGCACCGCCACCATCGAGTTCACACGGCTGCATGCCCCCGCCGTGAGCCTGACGACTCTGGGAACCTGCACTGCCTCTTCGTGCCAGGCACTGGTGGCCGTGGAGTGCCTGCGCAAGGGGCAGACCGCCTGCAAGGCAGACGGGCAGGGGAGCATTGGCGCCGGAAACATCGGCTGGTACAATTTTGGATCCGGAAACATAGGAGATAAGAACATCGGTGAGTGGTGTTAGTTGTGCTGCATGGCTGCACGGGTTGTGGATGAGCCTGTACATGCTGATTTATTTTGGGTTGCCGCTTGTGGAGGAACGACAGGGTCCTCGAGCCTGACTCTGGCAGCAGCTAGGGAGCGCGAGACACTTGCCAGAACAGCATGTCATTCCTTCAGCCAGCCAGCCATCAGTCCTTGCCCTTGATGACACAGGCAATAAGAACTTTGGCAACAGGAACATTGGCAGCCGGAATCAGGGGGATTTCAACATCTGCAATGACCTGCAAGGCCACAAGCGGCAGTGCAAGCTCTCGGCAATCAGTACCTCAGACACCATGGTGATGAAGATGCCTCCCAGTCCCCGTCCCAGGACCTCACCACCAACACCATACAAGTGGGTGCCTCCTCCCTCGCCCAAGAACCTTTCCCCTCCTCCCTCGCCCAAGAACCATTCCCCTCCTCCCTCGCCCAAGAACCATTCCCCTCCTCCCTCGCCCAAGAACCTTTCCCCTCCTCCCTCGCCCAAGAACCATTCCCCTCCTCCCTCGCCCAAGAACCTTTCCCCTCCTCCCTCGCCCACCGCCCTTTTGAGCATCGACTATGCAGACTGCGTCACCAAGACCCCTGCCACTGTCTCCTGCACCGTCAGCGTCACCACTGCCAGGGTACTCTCCCTGCTTGAGGTGATGCTGAAGTTCAAGGATGGGAGCAGGCGTACAGTGACACTGACGCCCAAGTCCACAACCACTGTGGGCACCTGGATCCTGTCGTCCACCACTGCCAGTGGCACAACACAGGCCTCCTACACCGATCCCTCCACTGGCAAGACCACCAACTCCGTGGCCGAGGTCATCGAGCCGGTGGCCCCTCCTCCTCCCTCCCCTAAAACAGCTTCTCCGCCTGTTCCGTCTACAACAAGACCTCCCCCTCCCCCACCCAAGACAACCCCTCCTCCCACCTCCACGACGACACTTCCGCCCCCCTCCCCTACCAAGACAACCCCTCCTCCCACCCCAACGAAGACACTCCCGCCCTCCTCCCCTACCAAGACCCCTCCTCCAACCCACAAGAAGGTCCACCCCCTTCCCCCACTAAGACCTCTCCTCCACCCCACAAAAATCCCCCACCTCCACCCTCTACCAAGACCTCTCCCCCTCCTAAAAGTGTGCTCCCTCCCCGCCGTGTCCATCCCAACCCTTCCCCTTCCTCTTTGACGCCTCCGCCTGCAGCAACCCCGTCCGGGGCCTACTTCGTCTCAGGCATTACTCTCACCCTGAGTGTGGACCGGACCAGCACCAACATGGACTCAGTGGTCATCACCGTATACAATCACCTTTCCCAGGTCATGTACACCTTCACCAAGGTCATGACCTCCAGGACGCTCGTCTGGCAGGAGATGCTGACCCCCGCTGAGGCCACCACCGTCTCCAAGATCACCGGCGTAGGGATGCTTCCCGGCGGCAGCAAGACGCCGTTCTTCACGCTGGCAAAGGCAAGCCCTCCCCCCTTTCCTCCCAGCCCCCCGCCCCGCCCCCTGCCGCCCCGCCCCCCCTCGCCGCCGCCCATAGTGCAACCGGTGGGGACGGTACGGGTAGGGGCCAGCGCCTTCACCATCTCCGTGGACACGGCCAGCTTCGTTGTGAGGAGCGTGCTGGTGGCGTACCTGGATGCCGAGGGGACCATGATAGCAAGCACTCGTCAGTACATGTTGAAGACGACCGTCCGCACCTGGGAGGACGACCTGGGGGGTTACTTCACCTCGCACTTCAGCAGGGCTGTCGCCTCAAGCGAGATGGACGGTCTTGACCCGGGACCACTGCCATGGGACCTGGTGCAGCTGTTCAACCCCCCGCCGCAGCCGTCGCCACCCCCGCCGCCCTTTGTGGACCCCTCCGGGACGGTGCTGGTGGGGGTCACCACCTTCACCATCTCCGTCGACACGGGCAGCTACAAGGAGCTGAACGTGGTGGTGACATACTACGACGCCAAGGGGGTGCGCATCGGGTTGACGCGCCAGGCGATTTTGGGGACCACTGTCCGCACCTGGAACGACAACCTGGGGACCTACATCACCTCCGCCTTTGCCACCGCCACCGCCTACTGCGAGATAACCAGGGCGGGCGCAGTGTCGCCGACCTGGCACCTGGTACAGATCTTCGCCCCACCACCACCTTCCCCACCCCCCTCCCCGCCCTCGCCCCCCTCCCCGCCCCCCTCCCCCCCTCCGAGCCCAGAAGAGGCGCAGGAATAGGCCCCCAGGGGCCGTCCTCAATCCGCACTGCTGCCCCATCCCCCCCACTAGTGGACACGCCGGCCGGCGCACCTTCCTTTGCGGTGGGGGTTAGGGGGGGGATCTGCCGCCCTCGTCCCTGTCCTCATCGTTCAACCCCCCGGGGACCTACATCCCCCAACACCACCAGCCAGTGCAGTGCCGGCGCAGGCTCTGTGCAGGCTGAGACGCCATGAGCCAGCCCCAAGCCGGGCCCGACCCCTCCTCGTCGCGCCGCCTGCGGCCAGGAGCCCATCGGCCCATCCACGCCCGGCTGGGAAGCTCGGCTGCGTCCAAAGCCCTGCGTCCAGGAACACCTGCTCCCTGGCTTGCCGGGTGGTAAGATGGTGCCTGGGCGCCACTCGGCATGACCCTCCCCGCTTGGCACCCCTGAATTATGCCTCCCCCGAAACGATGTGTGTGCCACCCTGTCATCGAGCATTGCATAGGCTCTGTAGCCCAGAGTAGTCTGAAGCAGAGCGAGGCGAAGTCGGTCCCCCATTTCAGTCGCGTGCCTCTGAGATGGTGTGCGACCCATGAGGCTGGCCTGGGCGGCCAAACGCCTCGCAGCGGACCCGGACCATGGGCACCCGCCCCCACAGCATGCATAGCAGGCCGCACACGCGTAGTTTGCAGGCTGGCGGGTGCCCTGTCGGCCCTGCCAGGATGTCCCGTCGCCGCCGCATGCAGATGCATGGCCTGTCCAGGCCCAGCCGCCACCCAATGCTGGCTGCAGCCACCTGCAGTCTGGTGCCCATCATCGGGTGGTGAGGGCATGGCGCTGTGGCGACCAGGCCACGCGTGCACCATGGTAAGTGGCTCCACAGCGGCCACGCCCTCCCCTCCACCCCCTCCGCAGCTGTGCAGTAGAGGCAATGGCATGGGGACACGGTGCCACTGCAATTCTGGCTCGAGGTGTGGGCGAGGGGGCCGGCCCGCCTGCCAGCCGACACACAGCGCCGTGAATTCCATCCCGGTACTCACTCAATCATCGCATCGGAGATATGCGCCACGTGTGTACTCACGGCAAACATGAGATGACGTTACATCGCCAAGGGAATGAGTGGGCAGAGACCCTGACAGTGGGCTGAGAGGGCTCTGGGAGACCCAGGACATCGGCTGCTGGGGCAAGGAGAGCCAGCTTGAGTGAGGGCCGGGGGATGGCAAGGGGGCTGTGGGGATGCTCAGCCACCTTTTCCTGCCTCCCCCGCTGGCCTTCGATGCAGCCGGCGACACCCCGGGCCAGGCCAGGAGAGCCCCTACTTTTTCGCCACCTTCTTCCCGGTGATGGGCCCCGCCCGCTTGCCCTTGCGGGTGCGCGCGTTGGTGCGGGTCCTCTGGCCTCGCACAGGCAGACCCTGCGAGAAAAAGATGGGGCCAGGGGCGAGGCTGGGGTGTACGCTCTACAGAGTCTCAGCCAGCAACCTGCCTGGGCTAGCGTCCCGATCACAGCCAGGGCCTCCAGGCAGAGGGCACAGGGTAGCGACCCCACCCCACCCACCGCGATGTGTCGCCGGCCTCGGTAGCAGCCGATGTCCTTCAGCCGCTTGATGTTGAGCGCGTTGAAGCGGCGCAGGTCCCCCTCCGTCATGTACTTCTCCACCTCGTCGCGCAGAATGGTCAGCTCCTCCTCCGTCAGCTCCCGGGTGCGCTTGTTCGGGACCTCCTGCGGCGGGGCGGCGGGGCGGGCACCGTCACCCGAGGCCCAGTGGTCGACCGGGGGTGGCACAATGCCCAGTCGGGTAGACCCCAGCCAAGCCCCCTGGTCATGGCAGGCACGGGTGAGATCCCCCAACACGGCTCACGGTGGAGGCGAGGATGGCCTTGGCGGTGGTGTGGCCGATGCCATACACGTACTGCAGCGAGTACTCGATGTACTTCTGGTTGGGGACCTCCACCCCAGCGATACGAGCCGCACGGATGACCTCCCGGCGAGGCTGCGTCAGCGTCTGGGCGGGGGGAAGCGGGGCGGGGATCCCGTGAGCTCACCAGGAGAGAGGCACCCACAAGGGTGCAGGCTGTGAGGTGTACCCCGAGGTGGACACCGACGCGGCACCAGCCATCGAGCGAAACGAACACATTGGGGACTGAATCAAGATTTCAGGCATCGAACTGCCCGGACAGCCAGGGCCCCGCACTCACCAGTGGTCGGCACGGGCGTAGGGATGGGGTGAAGGGCGCGGCACCACGGAATGCCTGGCTGTGACGTTGGGTCTGCGGACATGGAGCGTTGGTACATAATATGTATCAGAATGATAGTTTTCTCAGGTGTGGCCCTCCGCCTTGCCTTACCCACTCGCCCCCTCACCAAGTTCCTAGCGAGAGATAGGTTGCCCATCTGAGCACACAGGACGGAGGCCATGATGCTCGATGTGTCCTTCACAGCGTTGAACAATATGACCGATCACCAGTTTGACGTCAAGGACACCGTTGGTCGCTAGCCATTATGGCGAACTTGTCGAGGATAAGCTGACATCGTTGCTTCGTGGCCAGCAGCATGCGCGCGCGAATGCCGATACTGGGAGGCGCGCATTGGCTGCTAGCGTTCCTTGGAGGTGCCTGGCTTCCCCTTACAGAGCACAGGATCGATGCAATCCTTGCTCCAGACGCCCCAGTTTCAGCGTTGGGTCAACAGCGACGATACAAAATCGAAGGCGCCGTCCTTGCGTGCCCCCACTGCCTCCACCCTGCCTGCGCAGGGCACGAGGGGGAACGGGCATGTCGAGCGGAGAGGGTGAGGTGCGAGGGGTCCCTGACATGTGCCGGCAAGGCTCACAGGGTGCTCCCCTGCCCCAAAGCTCGGCGCACCGTTGAGAGCAGGCGGCCGGCTGCTTCCCTTGGGAGAGCTCCCAGCCGGCTGGCTGCCCCTGGAGCCAGTGGAAGAGGACCTGGCCTGGAGCTCGGAGGAGGCGCCCGACAGGTCCAGCCCTGCAGCCGTCAGGTTGGCAGCAGGTGGCCATGGGCCGGGTGCCGCCGCGCCGAGGAAGCCCATGTCCAACGGCGCGGCCGCGGGGTGCGGAGCGGGTGGGCCTGGCTGAGGTCCCGCGGATTGCGGTGGCAGGGAGGGTGCGGCAGCAACGTCCCCTGCCGTCCCCGTGCTCCCCGCCGATGCGAACCCCAGCCAGTCGTCGTCTGCTGGCTGGGCCAGGGCCGGCGCAGAGAGGTGGGGCAGGGCGGACGGGGCGCGGGCCGGGGGCCCTATGTCCAGCCCTGCCAACAGATCCATGACGTTGCTGTTGCTGCCTTGAGTGGCGCTCTGCAGTACTCGTGAGGGCTGACAGAGGTTGCCGTCGGTTGGCCCCTCCAGGTTGTCCATGAGGTCTGGGATTGGGGAGGCCGAGGCCGAGGGGTGCGGGACTGCACCGGCCGGGAGAGCCTCGCTCGGGGCTGCCATGGCGCTGCTCGGGAGGTCCCCCAGTAGGTCTGGGACGTCTGCGAGGATGGGCAGGCACAGTACGTGGATCACAGGGCACGGGGTACTGGTTTTGTACCGGCGTCATCGCCGCGTCGCCGCTGCGCGCTGCCTCTCCCAAAGCACTGTCGACGCCCCTGCATCGATGAGCCGCAGCCGGCCTGATCCTCCACCCCCTTCCACCCAAGACCTCCGGCGCTCTCCCCCGACCTGGCGCCGCGCCGCCGGGCCCGTCGGCCCCTCTCCCAGCGCGTCCACCCTCCGCCACCCGCGCCGGGCCGGCGCCCACCAGGGTCAAGACGTGGGCCGCCCTCTCGCGCACGCTGGCCTGCGGCTGGGCCGCCGCCGCACGCAGGCCGCTGGCGCGGGACTGAAACTGGGTGCAAACGGCCGCCGCCAGGGGCGTGCCGGCCCGCTCCTCCAGCGCCGCCTCGATGCCACACAGCACGCGCAGCCGCGACTGCCAGGTCAGCGCGGGGTTCTGTGAGAGGGGTGTCACATGGGCTCGGGGGTGGGGATTTCGGTGGGCCCTGAGGGGCTGGAGACGCCCGTGGCACCGGTTGGCGAGGGTCGCGGAGCGGCGCTATTCCATGCCGAGTCCCCCAGACGAGCGCTCCGCACGCTGAGCCCCAGCCCTCGACACGCGGGGTCTCTCCCCAGCGCCGCTGGGTGCGCGGACGCGCGATTCCCCACGGCCCAACCGAGACGACAGCCTTCCCCACACCGCCCCGGCGCCTGTCGCACCTCCAGGTGGCCCCACAGCGCCGCCGCCACCCTGGCGCCGTCCAGCCCCATGGCGGCCGTGAGGAAGCTGCGCAGGTCCTCGGCGCTCGGCGTGGCGCGCACGCCCCCCGGCGCCGCCAGCCGGGCCACGACCCTCTCCTCCGCGCTGGCCGGGGACGGCGAGTGTGGCAGCGCCGCCGTGGGCCCGCCGCCGCCCATGGCGCCCTGCTGCAGCAGGCCCCCGCCGCCCGGGGCTCGCTGGGGTGGGGCACCGGCGTGCGTCGGGGCGCCGCCAAGCTCGCTGCCGCCGCCCGCCCAGAGACCTGCGCCGCCGCTGGTGGGGCCTGTGCCCTGGGGCCCCGCCGCCCCGCTGCCAAAGCCAACCATCCTGCTGGAGGAGGCGCTGAAGGCCGCCCCGCCGCCGCCAGCATCGCCGCTGCCCATGCCCTGGATGCGGCCCTGGGGGTGGGGAGGGGCGTGCGGGTTCCTGAAGGTGTCAGTGGTCGGTGCCTGACGCCCCAAACACCTGCGCTCGTGGCGTGCCCCCGCGACTGCCGGGCACTGCCAGGTGCAGCACAGCGAGTCCTCACCGGCGACACGTGCGTTCCTCTTCTGACACACACGCAAATAATTACCTGCAGCGCGTGCGAGGCGCCGCCCACGGCGGCCTCGGGCCCGGCGTGCATGGCCGTGAGGGTGTCCTTGGCGAGCTCCTGCACCCTCTTCCAGGGGATGTCGCCCTTGAAGGGGTCAGGGTCGCACCGGTAGCTGAGCAGGTCTCGCACGGCGGGAGAGGCCAGGTGGGTCAGGCGGCTGCGCAGCGCGGCATCGCCCTTCAGGCAGGCGTGCCGTGTCAGGCGCAGCGCCTGCATGACGCGGCGGGGGGTAGCTCAACGAGGGAGTGCAGAGCCGGACACTGCTGGACCACTGGAGCTCTCAGTCCAGGAGCAGGGCGAGGTGGGAGTAACCTTCTGACCCTAGACAGGGGTGGCAACCCCATGAGCGCCTGCGTTCCCCCGCCTTTCCTCACAGGCGCATACCTTTTGCTTCACGGTGGCGCTGCGAGCCTTGAGTCGCGGCACGATGGCATTGGTGGCGGTGTCGATGGCATCGCGGTTGCTGCCCACGAGCGACAAGACCTCATCCAGGATGTAGACTGGGTGGGAGGGGGGCCGGTGCATGGTGGCCGGGATGCAAGTCAGAGATCGGGTAATTCTCCCTCCCCAAGGTGTCCTCCGACACCGACACATCCGCCATAGGCAGCATGCCTGCACCCCTCGCACCCGGCGTGACCTCATCACTGGAGGAGGTGGCCTCTGCGATCTTGATCTGCAGCTGCACAGAGCCAATGAAGCCGGCCACGCGGGCCTGCATCGCTCCCACACACCCACTGATCGACGGGACCGCGGAATGTGCTGGTCCCTGCTTGATTGGCCCACGTGTCTGGAGAGTGTATGAGCGCTTGTGGACGCGTCTTCTCGGGCTTCCTGCCTGAGTCGCATCGGAGTCGCAGGGATTCCACGGGATACACCCTCCCCCTCCACGTGAGCACCCGGATTCGAACTAGCAGGCATTGACCGACGCGATCAGGATAGTACATATGGCAGGATGATGGACATCACTCCGTCTCCCCTGACATTAAAGCCCTTTTTGGCGTCGAAAGCGACCGACCCCTGACCCTGTTGCCGGGAAGCCGGTGCCTTTCGGATGCATCCCGGCTACTGCGCCGGGACGAAGAGAGGCTGGGAGCACCACGATGACGACCTGCTGGACAACATGTTTGCCCACAAGAGATTTGCAGCGGATGTGCGTCGGCATCGGGGGGCTCCTGGACGGAATTGCGTGTCCATGCCATGCAGGGTCCATGCTCGGCACGGATGCAAAGGCAGCCACCCCACCACCCCTTCCCGGCCCGATCCGTGCAGGCGATTGCCAGCGATTTGCAACGCCTGCAGTTTCCAGGAACAGACGATGCATGCCAGTCATCCACGGGCAGCACGCCCCCTGCGTCCAACAGCTACTGCACACCCCAGAAGGGAGGGCCAGGGGGCGCCCAGCCTCAGGCAGGACCAGCTCGATTCCCCCACTCCTCCATCTGCCTGGAGGAGCGCCTGCCCATCTCGCCCAGCGACATGCAGCCCGGCACCAGCAACCTCCATAGGGTATGCGGCGGCGGCGTGTGCCGAAACGGTGACCTGCCGATGTGCACACTCTGCCCCTGGCCAGTCCTCCTTCCTCAACCCTCTGCTTGGGCATGCACCCGCTCCTGTGCCTCTGCTCTGCTCTCCATGCACATCTCAGGGCAGCCTCCTCCCATTTTCGTCCACCAGGCAACGCTCATCCGCCGCATGCTGCAGCAGACGGCGAGGTCGCTCCCGCCCACCGCCATACCGTTCTGGGAGAGGATGGCAGGGGCGCAGCAGCCGCTCGGCAGCAAGGCCCCCGGGCTGGCACGGAGCCTCCCCTCCTGCATGAGACCCGTGCCACCCCTGACGCGCGCAGCGGCGGCTGCGGCGGCCACCGGCTCGGGGAAGAATGCCGCCATGGACCGAGCGGCCGGGGGCGGTATGTTTCCGCGCGACCAGCATGGCATGCCCGCTGGTTGAGCTCGGGAACCACGCCACTGATCAAAAGATCCACAGGCAAAGCATGTACCTTGTGTCCCCGCTCCGCAGTCCCTCTTCCCTTTGCAGGATGACATCGAAACTCGCTGTGCTTGCCCTTGTCTGCGCTTGGCAATGTGTTTATCAAGATGACACCACCTGCGCAAGCTGCAGGAGCAACGCAGGGGACAGCCGTCCTGGCCGTGCGGTTCTCAAAGGTCGCCGACGGCATCTGGTAAGAGCTGGTGGATCCCAGGCACCTCACGCCAGCGTGGCACCTGCGCTCCGCGTCGGCGGGGCGACCGTCGTGCCGCTGAGCACGAAGCCGCCGCCATGGTTCATCTGCATCTTGGGGTGCGTCCTGCTCGGCAGCACCTGGCGGTGCGGGGCGGTGGGGAGAGGAGGTCCATGCGCGTGCATGCGGACACATGGCAGCATGCTTGTGTCGGCGACCAGGCGCAGAGCACCTCCTACAGGGCGCCCATAACTAGAGGGGGAGGACGAAGACAGCTGCAGGGGCCCACCCGTTGGACTCCAACCCTTCTTAAACCATCGACGCTCAGCTGCTGGGGACCCACCCACACGGCCCTGCCGGCCCCGCACCTGCTGCTCGCGCCACCATGACTCCTGCAGCGCCAGGCCCACGGCGGCGTGCTCAGCGCGCAGGGCGTGCATGGCTTCGGCCAGCGGCTGCATCCACGGCGAGTACACCGCAAAGGGGGTGGAGGGGGCCAGGAGCGGCAGCAGGGCCCGCAGCGCCGCGCCGGGGTCAAGCCCCGGCGCGGCCACGATGCACGCGTTGAACGGCCGCTGTGGCGAGGGAGGCGCGGCGGTTGTTGCGTCCCCGCATCTCGATGGCCCGCTGGCCTCCGCCTCGCCGGCTGCGCTGGTGCCCGCATCGCCGGCTGCACCGAATCCTGCCTCGCCCGTCGCTCCAGTCTCTGGCTCGCCAGTCGTTCCAGTCCCCGCCTTGCCAGCATCGCCCACCCCCGCCCCGCCCCCCGCCGGCTCGACCGCCCCAGGCACACCAATCGGCGTGGCCTGCTCCCCGCCTGCCGCGACCCGGCGAAGGAGCGACGCCAGGCTGGCGTGCCTCACGCCGCTCTGTACCCGGCCCGCGTCGAACTGGGCCAGGGCCTCCCGCGAGGGTGGTGCGCCGCCCATGTAGACCCCTGTGACCGTGCCGAAGCCGGCCAGTCGCTCCGCGGCCGCCCCCAGCACCAGGCCGCCGCAGGCATCAAGGACCAGGGGCCGGGCGTGGGCGGAGAGGCCCGCCAGGCTGAGCAGCAGGGCCAGCGCGTCCAGTCGCAGGTGCCCGATGCGCGCCGGCTGGCGCAGGAAGTAGGCCTCCGCGATGGCGGCGGCGGTGGCGCGCCGCGCCACCGCCGTGATCACGTACTTCTTGGCCTTCTTCTTCCTGCCATGGGCGCGTGGGGAGGGGGGGGCGCCGTGGGCTGTGGTGCTGCATGTGCGTCGTGCACTGGGTCCGATGGCGCCGACGCGCCCCATGGCGGGGGGGAGGTGGGCACGTAGGCAATGCCGGCAGGGAGCCTGCGCGCCGATCGTCCCAGGGCAGCAGAGGGCCCCGTCCGATGCCAAGGGCACCTGTGCAGAGGCGGACCCCCTCCCCCCCTCTCGCGTCCCCCAACCACCGGCCACTCACCTGTACTTGGCCTGCGAGAACTCGGTCTTGGCGTCAAAGGTGGCGCTGTGGGCCGCCAGGGCCTCCACGATGGCCGAGCCATGCACCCCCTGGGACCGCAGGTCCGCGATCCTCTCACTGGTGAGCTGTTCGCGGGAGGGAAGCACGGGGAGGGGCTGCTGGGTTCGCTAGGGAGGGATCCCTGAGAACCATGGCGCGGCCACAGGCAGCGGCCGGCCAGGGGCCAGGGCCCCTGCTGTGCACGCTGCGCCATGCTCAGCACTCCCACCTGCTGGTTGGCGTCCCCTGCGTCGATCAGCTGGCTGTTGTTCTTTGTCACCTCCAGCGCCGCCTCCTCCAGCCAGTCAGCCGCGACGGCGCTGTGCACGCAAAGAGGAAAGGCGGGTATAGGGGTCCGGAAGCAGGCCAGCTCAAGGGTTCCTGGAGATATGGAGGGCCACAGCAGAGATGGACGGCCCAACCCAACCCTCCTGCAAGCAGCACTGCTCCTCGCCCAACCCCATGCGCGACACAGTCCAAACCCAGGACGCACGGTGGGATCTGCTGCAGCGTCTTCCCATCGGGGGCCACGCCAAAGGTTGAGCCGTAGGGGCACCCAATGAGGGGCTGGATGGAGCAGAAGGCTTGCCCAAGCTTCACCTTGCTGCAAGGGAGGTGGACCAGGGATGTGGCCTGTGAGGGGAGGACCCCTGGCCATGGCAGCTGTTGCAGGCACAGACCACTACATGGCCCAGCCCCATCAACACTTATGAAATGGTCGTGCATTCCGACAGCATGCGCACCCCCTCCATCCCCTTCTTCCTCCATGACAACGTACTTCCGTCCTTTGACCACGACGAAGACGTGGCGATCACCATTCACGTCCAGAATGATGCGGGACCCCTCGCGAATTATGCTTTCGTCCTGTGCCGGAGGCCCTACGCCAGGAGCTTCGGGCGCTGCCATCCTGGGGAACACGCCGCGGCCCCGCTTGATTGTCCGACTTGGTTGTCACTTCGTTTTGGATATCTAGCTGGATTGCGACAGTGGTTCTTCAGTACGCTTCAACCCTACTCGAACGCCTCGCGAATGCCCATTAAAGGCAAACCGCCAAATACTACTCCGTGTTACATATGTGAACTTTCGAGCTCAAATTGTGAATCAAAATACGCAGCGCGCAATGCATGCATGTTGGGGGCCATTAGGCACGGAGGTGTTTCCAGGGCGCGACGGCTGTCCTTCGTCGACAGAGGGGCGATTCTGATGGGACGCTTCCCATCACCGTACTGGGGCGGTTCAATGTCAGTTTAGATATATAAGATCGACTTTTCATCAACTTGCGACTCCTGAGAATGTCATGATGAGACCTCGGTCCCTGTACTGCGGTCGGTGACAGGTGCCCTCCGGACTCCAGCACACCGGCTCGGCGTACAATCGGCAGGGCGGCGCTTGCCCTGGAGACATGGACGACTCAGTACCAGAGTACAGCTCTTGGGCTTCGATCCTGGGTGTCGCTGCCCCCGCGGTCATCCAGAGCTGTGAGCCACGTCTAGGTGCTTTCTTGGGGGTGTGTCCTGGCCTGCACTCATTTTGGAACTTCCCAGCCTGCTTGCCAGCTCCTCCAAGGATGACGCAACCCCCTTACACCCATGCACAGTGGCCGCACCGCTCACCAGCACCCTCCAGACCGCCTGGCTGGGCCTGTATGGGTCCCCTGCCCTTGCAGCATATGCGGCTGTGAACACCAGTGCGACCTTTGCCCTCAAGATCTTTGTATTTTTCGGTGACGGCGTCTCTGCCAAAGTAGGTATCGTGGATGGGGCCTCGCATGCGCCACAGGTTGCATGCCCAGAGCCGCCGCCGAGCCCACCTCCCCTTCCCTTTGCCACCTGGCGTTGGCTGAAGGGCATGGCCATTCGATCGAATTCACACACATCCTTCCAAATCTTGGAGCAGGTGGGAAACCTGGTGGGCCAAAAAGACTGGCACGGCCTCTTCATCACCGTCCTCTTGTCCCTTCTCTGGTGAGCGATTGGGGGTCAGCATCCATGCTCAGCGGCAGGGGCCGCGCACCAACAGTGATGTGGGTCCCATGTTTTCGCACCATGCCAAGCCAATCTACAGCGACAACCCACCGCACTGCCCTCCACCCCGCGACCCCACCCTGTCCCACTCCAAAACCTAACCCTAAGGTCGGCGTCCTTGGGCACGGCGGCGGCCTGCGTCCTGCTCCTGCTCAAACCCCTGGTCATCCACCACGTCCTGGATCTGGAGCCACGGGTGCTGGCCGTCGTGGCTGCCTACTGGACGGTGCGCGCCGCCGCAGTGCCCCTGGCCATGACCAACATGGCCTGCACGGGCGTCCTGCAGGTGGGAGGGCGGGGTCCAAGGGTTCGGTCAAACTGGTGGATGGCGGGGGACGTCAGGAGGTGAAGCGGCGGGTGGTGTGATTGGGTGGGCTGGGGTGCGGGTGGGAGCAGTGGCCAGGTGTTGCTGGTCGCCAACTGCCGTGAGGGAGGGACGTGTGGAGACACGACTTCTCCCAGCCCCTGCACCCCGCGGCCTCTCCACACCCACGACCACCAAGTTGCCTGCCCGGCTCAATCCACCCCGCTCCTCACTCCGGTGCACTCCCAAGGCACTCTCCCTTCCTCTCCACCCCCCCCAAACCCTCCTCTTTCCAACCCTAATCCAGGGCCTGCACCGCGTGACGCTCTGCGCGGCGCTGAACACGGGCCAGGCGGTGGCGGAGTCGTGCCTCAGCGCCGCTGTCCTGCTGGGCGGGGTGCGCTTCCTGGGCGCCGGCGCCCTGGTCTCCATGGGCTGGGCCTCGCTGCTGACCCAGGCCGCGCAGCTGGTCGCCTGCCTCACTGCTGTGCACGCTGCGCTGCCGCACCAGCACGGCAGCCTGCGCGGGGCCTGGGCGGGGGAGACCGGGCCACGACAGCCGCTGTTGGAGGAGGAGGCGGGGGAAGATGAGCCCGCGCTTCGGCCCCCCTGCGCCGACTACCACCCCGCCAGCACCGCGCCACTGCTGGTGTCGGACGCAGGCGGTTCAGGCACGCTCCCGCCCGACGCTGCCGCAGACGGCACAGACGCCCACGCCAGCGCGCCCTCCCCCGCCAACCACCAGCAACCGCCCCCCGCCCCCGCATCAGCGTCCCGCGCGTTCCTGGACGACGGCGTCAACATGCTGCTGCGCTCCATCACGCTGCAGGCCACCTTCTTCGCAGCCCTGGTCGCCGCCTCGCGGCTCGGCACCGCCGCCCTGGCAGCGCACTCCGTCGTCGCCCAGCTCTGGATGCTCAGCGCCTACGCCGTGGACGGCTTCGCCGCCGCGGGCATCGTGCTGGGGTCGCGCCTGGCGGGCGCCGCAGACGACTCCGACCAAGGGGGCGACGCCGCGCTCAAGTGGGTGGCGGGGGAGCTGGGTGGCGCGGGGTGTTGCCCACTGCGCATGTGCTCGGGCCTGAGGGTGTGGTGGGTGCAGACGGAGTAGGCGGAGTGGGCGCGCCCCGCCATGCAGGCCACCATCATTTCCCCTTTCCCCCAAGCCACCCCTCCCCCCCACATCCCCCCTCCCCGCCCCCGCAGGTCGCTGCGCCGGCTCATCCGCCGCTGCTGCATGGCGGGGACCGCCTTTGGGGCGGCCACGGGCGCGACGTACCTCCTCTTCCGCCGGCCCCTCATCCGCCTGTTCACCGGGGATGCGGAGGTCGCGGCCCTGCTGGGGGGCAGCACCTGGACCCTGGTGGCCGCCATGCAGCCCTGCAACGGCCTGGTCTTTGTTCTGGACGGGTGAGGCAGTCGTGGATGCAGGCGGGGTGATACCTTGGCACCCTGGGCAGGAGTGAAAGGAGTGCCATGCGACGCGCATGTGTTGTGGCGCTTCACCCTTCCCCGCCCGCTCGTGCTGGGCTTGGATGCCGGCAGGCATGTCGTCCCCTGCTCCAACCCTCACCCCCCTTGCCTTTCCCCCCAAAACAACTAGGTTGATGTACGCCTCCCACAATTTCGCGTACGTCCGCGACTACATGGCCCTGGGCTTTGCGCTGGTCTTTGCTCCGGCCTTGGCCCTGGAGCTCTGGGTCTGGCCCAGCCTGGTGGGCATCTGGGCCGCCAAGGCCCTGTACAACTTCTGGAGGGCGGCGGGGGGGCTGAACCTGGTGCTGCGCCGCTTCGTGCGGGAGGTGGAGGACCGAACGCGCCGGCGAGCGCCCGGGCCCGGCCCCGCCTGAGCGGCGGTGCGGCGCGCGCAGGGGCCTGGGCGGCGCGCGGTTGCGGCACGAATCCGACTGTGGGCTCCGGAGTGGGAGCGCCTGACCCAGCGGGCCCCGTATGTGACCTGCCACGCATGCTTTCACACGTGTGCTGAATCTGTTGATCCCAATGACACCAGCATCAGCCAGCTCTGTCGCTGCTCAGCCCACATGTCCAACTCCATGGCACCCTGTGACCCAGCTCGTGACTTCATCATTCGAGGGTAGTGGGGCGCTCACGAGTCATGTCCAACTTCAACAGGGTGTGTTTGCCAAGCCTCCTGCCAAGGGGCAGAGCTGGCGCTCCGGACCCGATCAAGTGAGCAGAGCTCGTGTACAGGGAGCTGAAGGCCCTGTGGCGAGAACGGCACACGATGGGGATGCCAGGAGCATGGTGGAAGGGTGCAAGGCGGAGGAACGCTCAGGAGGGGCGCATGGCCGAGTCACTGCACAAAACTGGGGGCGCCCCTACCATCTGTCTGGACACGGGGATCACGGATGTTCTATCCAGCCCTCACAGCCGGACCCCGAACCGCAGCATGAGCTCGTCCGCGTTGGCGGCGTTGTAGCCCGCGAAGAAAGCGCGGCCCAGGCGCCCGCCCATCCCCTCCTCCGCGTTCCAGTCCTCGGCCGACCCGGCGTCGGCCCAGCGCCCCGCGAGCGCGGCGGCCGCCGCCTCGGCCGCGCCCACCTCGCCGTCGCCCCCGCCCTCCTCCCAGCAGGCCAGGCAGCGGCCCGAGGCGGCGCAGACGGGGAGCTCGCCCTCCCCCGCTCCCCGGCCCAGCGCGCAGTGGGCGTCGCAGACGTGAGCGTGGCCGCAGGTCTCGCAAACCCAAGTGTCGGCGCCCACCGCGCGGTAGCTGCAGGCCCCCGCGCCGCAGGCGCGCGGGTGCGGGCCCGCCGGCGGGATGCCCCGCGCCGCGCGGAAGGCGGCCACGCGCGTCGCGCCGACCGGGGCGGGCCCCGGGCCGGCGGGCGCGCGCCAGGCGGGCGGCACGGCCTCGCTGCGCTTGGCCACCGCCATGTGGCGGTACAGCGGGCCCAGCGCGGGGTCCAGGCCCGTGGCAGAAACCGCGGCGACGCCCGCGCGGTCACGCGCCATGTAGCGTGCCTGGCGGGGATGTGGTGAGGAAGTAGGTGGGGGGTGGAGGCGACACAGTGGCATTCACAGGCATCGAGGCACCTCTGCAAACCCACGTCTACCATGCAAGGACATGGCCGAGCTCAGGGACGGGGACGCTGGGCTCGGGGTGAATTGATCTCGGCCATACCCCGAAGGCTGTCACACGCGCATGCAATCCAACCCCGCCTCGCCGTCCACACACACACACACCTTCCAGGCGGGGGTGGCGCCCTCGTCCTGCATGCCCGCATCGGGCCAGCGGTAAAGGAAGTGCCGGCGCCAGACCAGGTCCTCGCCCGCCAGGCGTGCCAGATGCCGGCAGGTCTGGGCGAGGGACAGGGTGTCGTCGGGGGAGAGGAAGCAGACCAGGCGCAGGAGGAGAGGCTCCGGGAGGGTCAGCATGTCAGGGGTGCTGTCTGCCGTACCAGCACCCTGTGGAGTGATCATAGAGCAGTGCATGGAGGAGTGATGGATTGGAATGTTTCCTGGAGGGCACGAAGATGAGTGAGCAGCTGGTGGCAAGGTCCTGGCATTAGCAGTGTGCCGGCCAGGGTCCAGGCTGCCATGATGTATTTGCTGGAGCCCAGCAGTGCGAATACAAGCCACCATCACTCATCCGCATGCACCTGCCCGGCTTTAGCCTCGTCGCAAGACCATTTGACAACAGGCGCCGACTGCACGACGCCAACGTCGTCTCCATCGCTCGCCTCTAGGGCGGCAAGGAGGTCGAGCTCGAGCCCGTCTGCCGAGTTGCTGGGGGACGCTTGATCGCGCTGTCGCTTGTTACCCACTTCCCTTCCCATGACGTGCTCCCCGAGGGGGGAGGGCGCTGGGAAGGGGGTGCGGACAGTCGCTCGACCGGGTCTCGGGGGTGTGCTGGCTCAGGCTGGAAAGAGGGCCTCCAGATATTCGCCCTGCTGGCCCAGCGCCTTCGTTAGTAATTTTGTCGTAAGGCGACATCGCTGGGAGGTGGGATGAGCAAAGATGGTATAACGCAAGTTCTCCGTGGAAATTATACTTGGCTTGGTCAGATGCATTCGAGTGCCCCGCAACGCTTTGTATTGCCGGCTCGAGGTCCTTGAACTCGTGCCCTGCCTCGACCGTTCGCTGTCGGCACGCTGTACAACAAATCCAGCCAGGTCGGCCACCATTGACGAGGATCCGATCGCTGGCCCCCCGGTTTACATTGTCTTAGAACAGGCGGCACTGCCCCGGAAGGACGCTTGCATTGTGTCAGCGCCTGCCACCCTCTGCGGAGCCAGCCCACCCCCGGGCCGCATAGCTGGCACCACACCGACACGCTCTGGCCGGGTCTGACGTCATGGATCCTCCCAAGGATCAATTCGCGGACCCTCCCACCGGCTCAAGCCCGCTGGAGCAGCCCTCCCTCTTCCCTGGGTACTCTGCCTCGCCTGGGAGCACCTCCCCCCCCCATGCCACCAGCGAGTACACGGCCACTCTACATCGTCTCTACGGCTCCCTGTCCCAGCTGGCGGCCTCCAGCAGCCGGTCCAGCCTGCCCGGCATCCTGGAGGAGGGCGGCACCGGCGAGCGGGCGCCGGAGTTCCTATCAGCAGACCTGGACAGCAGCCCCTGGCATATGCAGCCGGCGAGGGGCCCGGCCCTCTGCGCCCTGGGTCTGCCCTTCCCGGCCGCAAACGCGCCCGGCGGACAGACCGCCGGTGCCCCGCCGCAGCGCGAGCCGGCGCGGTCGCTCAGGCTGACCTGCAGCTCCGGCTCCCCCGTGCCGGAGGAGACCATCTACATGATGGCGGAGGTGTGCAGGGGAGGCAAGGGGTGGCTGGGAGGGAGTTCCTGGGATGCTCTGGGTGGAGTCAAGGGGGGTCCCGCGCCTGGGGCGGAGTCTGCGTCGCTTGGCGCGTGCGCTGGCGATACCCCCCACTTGACCGTCCAGCGGCACCCCTGCGAGGTCTGCTTGGGCCCTCGCCTCGCCTCTCTTTCCTCGATCTACCAACCCACTCCCACACTCGAATCCCTGCGACGCAGGCGTACGGCGAGGTGGCAGGCGTGTCGCGCGCCGCCGACGGCTCCGCCCTGCTCTCCTTCCACGACTCGCGCGCCGCGGTGCTGGCCGAGCACATGATGGACGGCGTGGAGGTGGGCCCCGGGCGCTCGCTGCGCGTCAGCGCCGCGCCGCGCGGCGAGGGCCCCGCCCCCGGCGCGCTGCTGGCCGCGGCGACGCACGGGCCGCTGGACGGCGCCGAGCTGGCGCGCCTGCTGGCGCGCTACGGCGATGTCGCCGGCGTGCGCCACGACCCGGTGCACCCCGCGCGTGCGCGCGTGGACTTTTACGACGCGCGCGCCGCGGCCGCCGCGGTGCAGGGCCTGGCGGCCGGCGACGACGCCGCGCTGCGCTCCGGCGCCCGCCTGGTCTTGACGCAGGCCTCCGGCTCGCCGCCGGCGGCCGCGCCCGGCGCGCCAGCCGCCGCGCCGCCGGCCGCCGGCGGCCACCTGGGCCGCCCGCCTGTAGCGCCCAGCTCCGCGCAGCACCAATATCCGGCCATCGAGGAGCAGTTGGCGGCCGCGGGGCTGGCGGGGCGCGGGTCGCCCCCGGGCATGCCGCGCTCCGCGCTCGGCTCCTCGGCCGCGCTGCTGGCCGGCGCGGGGCTGGACGACGGCGGCCGCGCGCCGGCGCTGGGCCACCTCCCCTTCTCCGCCTCCGCCCCCGTGCTGGACGCGCTGCTGCTGGGGGGCGCGCCCGGCGCGACCCTGGCGGCCGCGCAGCAGCAGGCCGCGGAGGCCGCGCAGGCCGCACGGCGCCACGCCTCCATGCTGCGCAGCCTGAGCGAGATGAGCCTGGAGGGCCTGGGCGGGTACGGCGCCGGCGGCGGCGCCGGCGGCGGCGGCGGCCCGGCCCCGCTGGGCCTGGTCGGGCCCTCCCTCTCCGCGGGGGACCTGTTTGGCCTGAGCAACGCGGCCGCCATCCAGGCGCTGTACGGCGTGCAGGACGGAGCCCACGGCGGCGGCGGCGGCTCGCTCTGGCCCCCGGCCTCCGCGCCCGGCGCCGGCGCGGGCCCGGCCAACTGGAGCGACGCGCTGCTGGGCGGCGCCGGCGCCGGCACCGGCGGCGTGGCCGACATCTCGGCGGCCATCGCGGCGCAGCAGCAGCAGCAGGCGCTGCTGACCCAGCAGCTGCTGCAGCAGCAGCAGGCCACGCTGGCCCAGGGTGCCGCGGTGCAGGCGGCGCTGCAGCAGGCGCTGCTGACCCAGCAGCTCCTGGGCGGCGGCGGTGCGGG